TCTCGGAAATGCTACGAAAATCTAGGTCCGTAGCTTGACGGTAGCTCAATAGAGATCTTAGGTTCTGTTTTAGGTATCCCCCCAGCGGACGAATTGACTCGAGATTGCGCGACGTATTTTTGCGAAAACCACCATCGCAGATTTGGCACTGCGTAAGATCGGTGTACGAATGCAGCTTTCAGTTACACATATCATCACAGGTATCGTCTTTTTAAATCTGACCAAATAAGCGCTTTATCTTACAACAATGAATTGTATAACTACCTACTCCACGCTACTATAAGTTTTTTGTCAATATGCGGTACCGTTAGACACATTTAAGTGTGGTGTCACACTATGCGTTTTTACCGCTCCCGCTAAAACGCTCCTGTTTGACGGGATGATAATAGCACACGTTATTAAATTGTACCAGTCACATATATGCGTTTTCGCCGCACCAACCGGATGCAACCGCATCCTGCTGCCGCTGCGCAGGATGAAATGACAACCACAATGACATGAAACCACGTTGGTTGTCATCAGTTGTCACACTGAGCGTTGCAACTGGGTGTTTTGTTAGGTTTACAATGTTTGATGTGGGTTTATTCATCGAGTGCGTGCATGCAAAAACTGCACTGCGGGAAAAACAATCTAAAGAGTACAAACTGTATAGGGAGAAATCATGGGTAGAAATTGAATTTTTGGACATTCGGTAATATACAAAAAAAATTTTTCTTGTTCATTCGAAATTTTTTCATAAAACTTCGAGAGCTGTTATTAGATTCTCGTCCTGAATTAAAAGGAGCAATCCAATATTGAGGATATATCTGCTTTCGCAATAACCCCTCCGCCTCAAGCCATTTTTAACAATAATTGAGCCATGACACTACTTAGACTGCCAAAATATAGCAAAAACGCATCCCGTTAGACCGGAATAGTGTGACAAGTAGATCTCATCCTGTCAAACCGCATCCGTTTTAGCGGGAGCGGTAAAAACGCATAGTGTGACACCACACTAACTCTCTTGACCTACCTCCTTCCCTCTCAATTTCACTATTTTATCTCTATTTCCTCGCACCCCACTTTCCTTTCTCTTCATTCTCTTCTTAGACGGTGCGATTCTCTCCGTCCTCCCCTCTTCCATTTTCTTTCCGTTCCAAGTCTTATATATGACCAAAAGCTCAAAATCGCCACGCGTTTTTTCTTACTTGAACATTAATCATTAATCATTATTCTTAATTTAATTAACATTCGATGTTTAACTTATATTCATTAAATTCTTTATTCAGACGCCATCTAGGTATTCCCTTTGATAGGTAGACAGATAAGTAGTATGTTGTGTTTGAAGTTACTGTTACATGCGTCATTGTCATTGTTGTGAATTGTACATCTTATTGAAATTTAATTAATTAATCTAATATATCTAATTGAATACATACACAATACATATACAAGGTAATTACACCTAACAAACCTGTAACAACTGTTTATCACAGATGTTACAATAGGCTATATTATCACAGGCCCTATTTGTAAACCCGTTTAGTTAAATTGTAAGTTGTTTCTATTGTATATGTGTTATTACCGTAGTTCTTTATTTTCGCCGCTAGAGACCATCCGAGTGTCATAGGTTTCATTTGCAATAGTTCTTTGTTTCGCCACCAGAGGCCGTGAAGATGTTTTTTGTGATACTTCTATCCCTTCTTTATTTTGGTATTGCGTACAGTTGTATTTTTGCACAGAAGATCTGGCATTTACAGTGGTTACGTGCAAATAATTTTCTTGATACGCTATCACTGTTACTTGACTTATAATTGTCTACCTGAAAAGGGGCCATGTGGTGGATGTACCTTCTTCGGAGTATTTCTTTCTCATAATAATGTGTTGCGGCTGCTCCATTGAATACGCTTAGCGGATTTATACAGAAAAGCGCCCTTCTGACCGCTGTTACAAACCAAGTTCAAAGATAATTTTTATTTTCGACGGCTCATTTATGTAACGTTTGATTACGTACTGGTTTTCGATACAATGGAATGTATTACTACATTTGTTTGATAGTCATTTGACAAGTATAGCTCTGTTGTTTTATGCGGAAGCCTGTTTTGACATTTATAATTTCCCTGACTAAGAGTTGAGCCGTATTTGCAAAAAAATTTAAACATTGACATTTCAGATTTGTATCTCTCTCCTCTTTTAACACTTAGTACAGTCTAAGTGGTGGCTATCCAGTTTGCTATTACTATATTTCCTTTTGCTTCGTTTTACCGTCTTACCGTATGCTTATCTAGTAATTTTGTTACGTTTGCTCAAAGTGCACATAACAATCGTTTTCTCGAGAAAACGCCCAAACCCATTCCTTTGATGCCCAAAAAGTGAATGTTACGCATTTTTGATGACCAGTTGTATTTTGGCCAGGATATGCAAAAATTATTTACCACCAATTTCATTGGAAAAATGATCAAATTCATTCCTTGGATACTTACAAGGTAAACTTTAACCAACATGCGTTGTATGTAAATCGGTTACTTCAATATTGATGGATATGCGAAAATTGGCCAAAAGAGATTTTCCGATTTTCGCGGTTGAAGAACAACTTAATATACGAGAATGTGTCAAATAGATAGTGGCAGTTCCACTCATTTCAAGGATTGAATCAGTAAAAGTCTCAGATGGGAGTTACAAAGAGGTTGGCAATTGGCAACTTGAATAATTAATTTTCTGCACGCCAACATTCTTCATAATTACATAACAGCGTTAGGAACTATTTCAAGGGCGTTACTGTTGCTATTTTAGAACCATGAGCGATGGAAACAAATGAACTTATTCAATTTACGTAGCTGTAAAAAGTTAATGGAGTTCATTAGGAACTTCCCTCCAAACCACTCATTACGAAAGTACCTATAGTTTTAATTGCAGAACGGATTTAACAAACTAGACGTTAATTGAACCAAGTTTTGCATGAACTCCGCTACAAATTTTACACTGGGGGATAATTTCAACAATTAAACAATTTGCTCCCTAATTTGATGACGTACCGTCAAGTGTATAGATAGACATAAGTTACGTGTGAAATATGGGGCGTGATCTTTTTGTCACGCAATATTGCAATCATAATAAATTGTGAACAATTACCGTAAAAATGGGAATATACGCAAACGGGTGACTGTAGAAGCCGAGATGGGGTGGATTGTTCTTAAGGGTTGATATGAAAATAGGGGTGTCCATTTATTTTTAACTTTGATGTAAGTAGATATTTAATACATTGTCTCGAAAAACTTACGTTATAATCACAAACTTCTAAAATTTGACAAATTTTACACAAAAAATGCGATACAACCGAATACTGAACGATCTAGACAACAAACAATATAAACCACAGTACCTTCAGTACGTCTCTGTAGGTTCAGTCTGTGTATATGGAAAATCCCACCGCGCTGATGCAGATCTCCACAAAAATGTTGCGGCGGATGGGTAAACTGGGACCCTCGATGATACGTGGACGGTCTTTCGCGTAATAACCAACATATTTCTTTTGATCTCTTCGTTAACGGGAAATGACTTCTACATGTGATCGTGTGCTGAAGATACCAAATGTGCCCTAAACCCTTTCTAGACAAAATGTAGATCTTGCGCACACTGACGTACATCACCGAGCCGAGCCTACTCGATCAGAACTACCCTTATGCAGCTTCTCAATTCGTACAATTAATGCGAAAATGCCGAATTCATAATATCAGTTCGTATATAAGCGAGTGTATCTCGGGTTTGTCACTTCAACATTTAGACAGGAGTGTACTTCGTTTGTTAAACTTTTGAAAGACATTACAGTTGACCTATTACCACGCCTATTACTTAAAATACGGATGGCTAGTGTAACGAGTAATTATCAGTCGTACATAAAAATTCTCTTCAATAGGGGGCAAAACTATTTTAATGAAAACAAATAACGTGACCCGTCACAAACGAAGGAACATGCATTACAAAGATCGGTAAGAAAAAGCTTTGTTTATTCTCTTGTTACGAAAAAACCAACATAGATTTATTAGAATGCGTTCTGTATTTCTCGCATTTACGCCTCATTGTAGTGCAAAATCATGAAGTACTCATGAATTCATTAAAAGACACAGATATGTAATTTATAAATACATTGTAGATTTACTATATCACATAAATACCAGTTGTGGTAATGTATTTTGAACGATTACTATTGTTACCACACATTCACTGGTGTTGTATAATATTTATGTGCGCAATTTTGTGAATACTCATTACGGAGCTGAAATTTTTCAGGCTCAATAATGTAATATGTTGACACGTATTGCAATAGATGCATGATAAATTTTACGTCGTCCTCATGCACCAGATCCCTGTCATTGCTGTACGATTAACTGTCGCAGCCGAGCAAGTGGGTCAATCTGATCGTTACTGTAATTACATTCTTATCTATAGTAGTTCAGTCTCCGCATCTGCCATAGAGGAATTTGTGGTGTGCTACAGATATTCTAGAACCTTTCTCGCGCATTTCCTTCGCGTTACGCTACGGGCGATTCTGTGGTATATTAATTACCTGAACAATTCTCGAAATTTGAACAAATAAAAAAGTTTAAAGAAAAACAGTTTCTCATTGCCACTTTTTGAGTTCTACGAGACGCCGTTGAAAGATTTTAAATACAACGTTTCTTTTCGGAGATATCATCATTAACTTTATTTTTTAATATGGCCCGTAAAAATGTACATATTGTATTGAGAAAAAAGTTGGAAACTGTTGGTTTCAACAGGATGGTGCACCCGCGCACAACACCCTAATCATGCGAGAATACCTATTGGACAAATCGAAAACTAAATTCAAGTTTCGTAACGGAATCCAATACATGAATCTTATTTTTATTAAGATAATTTCTTTTACTTTTACATTGTTACAAACATTACAAAGAATTGGATCTAATCCTTCAGGGATGGTTCTAATTTTTCGTTCTTAAATTGGTACAAAAATTTTAGAATAATAATAACTTTGAACTTACTTTAAGACGCATGTGTTAACTCTTAACCGTCAACTTTTGAAAATACGGGTGTGTACTTTGAATTGGCTGGAAAATCTTCTTCTTTGAAGCTGACCGGTAACGGAAGGTAGTCACGCGGTTTGCAAATTCACCAGTGGGATCTCGGAAAGTGTAAGTGATAGGTAGGTATTTTAAATTTAGCAAAGTTGCGTATTTTGACGCTCAATAAGATAGCGTTCTGAAAATAAAAAAAAAAAGAAAATGGCTTCCATACACTTTTTAAATAACTTCAGTAAAAAACGATTTGCAAAATGCCGTTTTTTCCGGATCTCCGAAACTGGTCGGAATTTTTTCAGTTTCAAAGCTGCATTTTGTCAAGCATCAAAATACGCAAGTATGTTGAATTTAAACTACCTACCATCTCTTACAGTTTCCGAGATCCCCATGGTGGACCTAGAAATTGAATGAGCCTGTATGTTCACATACACAGTAATGACACAAGGCATACCTACGAAACTTTAATAGAAAAATAATGAACTATCCACAAACAAAAAAACCTGACACTGAATAACCTATACCATGCGTAATAGACTGAATTTTATTTCTCCTTTTTGTATTGCATTGGAGATAAACTGAACGCTGTATGCTTATAGTAAAGACAGAAAGTCCATATACCTGCGTTATTTTACCGCTTAAGATGCTTGCACTCAATATAAAAATGTTCTCAACCTCGAAAATCTTAGCAACGGCACCTTCCAGTGACACACTGCATGATGAAATTATGTTACCAATAATGTTTATTTCACACTATTAAATCGAACCCTTTTGTTACAGGTGTAGAAATTACTGATGAAGAAAATGTGAACAGTAGGTACCAATAATTAGCTTAAATTTTATATTATTTGAAGTGAGGGTGAATGATGAATTGGCGCAACAGGTACAAATATAAGTTTCGCTCATCTTCATAAATAAATTATAAATTTTTATTTATTAGTTACTGGGTGTTTTGTTAACTATTGCTTAAGCAAACAAATCTAAATGAATTCGTGCAAGCCTATTTTAACAAGATACGAAGAATCACATACGATGTTCAGTAGGGGAACTTTTTGACACTCAGCTCGCATTCGGAAACACGACTTTTAGAGGTTCCATTGGATCGGTTGGGTGAAGACTTGATCATGCGCCCCATAACCTGTTTGTTAGCATAGTAAATAATTTCGTTCTCATGAATTAGATAAGATCGTACAAGTATTTTATTAAACCAGGAAACTGGCATTCATACACACACTATGTTTCAACAGGAGATTCATAAATTATCAACTTCAGGAAAGGCTTTCACCTTTGATCAATGCAGGAATAACACAATAGTACGAATATAGTGCTGAAAACCCGAAAGTTCTACGATATTCCATTACCACTCGATCGATTGATAAAAGGCGCCCGAATAGCCGACAGTTACTGAAACAAACTCCTTTTTGAGAATCAAAAATCGTTTACACCGACAGGGTTGCTCGTTTCAAAACGGTAAAGCGACAGAATGAAATGCGATCTATTTTTCTCGCTGAACGCCCAACTTTTTCGTCAACCATTTCAGTATTTTAAATGTGTGTCAATTGATAACAAATATAACGGGTAATAACAGCTGACTCGCATTAACCCCAGTTTATGAGACCGTTATCGGGTAAGTAGTAATTAAATAGCCTTCAGTTTTCACTAAATGGTTCGCTCTATTTTTTATTTTATTTATTTATTGTCCCTCTTGTTCTAGGACCTCAACAGGCTTACGCCCAATTACAGAGTGACCCGCATAATGCTTTTTAGAGGTGCCCCTGCAGAAGGTCTTAAGTTGTTCTATACTACTCCGGTATTTACCTTACGAAATAGGAAAACTGCAGGAAAACCTAATTCGGAGTAGCCGGCAGAATGCTCGAAACTGATCTAAGGAAATTCCCATCTCTGCCACAGATGAAAAATTCACCTCAAACCAGGTTCGAACATCCGACCTCCGGATTTATACCCCAACGCTTTACCACTGAGCTATAATGCCGGCTCTAAGGTCAACTATCCTAAAAGTAATGCGCTATCAAAGTGTATTTTTTATTCGGTCGGAGAAAATGAAGGGGAAATTCGCTATATATTTAAAAAAACTTAGAAAGTTGGAATTTTCTGCACCATTACCTTTTAATTACCACACAGGCTTGTTGAGTTGTGATTCCCATGTGAGGGAGGACCCTACAAGTTGATTGACCGATGACTTGATGTATGAATCGGAAATGTACTTCTTCCCACCTTGAGGAAATCGTGGTACGTACGTACAGAACTTCCGATTTTAAACTAGAAATGCATAATTTCAAATTCCATAAAGACGGGGAAGGTAAAGGAATTATACAATAGAAATTTCAAGTTTGAAGCCATTCTGGAAAGTTGACGTTGTATTTTCTAGTGTTTTACAATTTTGCTTCCGGAATTAAAAGGTGCGATAACACTATTTGAGGGAGTGTGGATCTGTAATCCTTCAAATATGCGCTACTCCTTACTTCTGCACACATCCTTCGATTTTTTAATGAAACCGTGTTCGGACAAATAATGAAGGTTGATGAGTTTTTTTCTATGACACAGTTTGTCGAAAGATATTCCTTTATTTTTAATGAACGATAATTTAAAAGTCTTTAATACTACGTTCATTTCGTTTTATTAAAAAATAAAGTGTGGGCGGGGAGAGAACGATATTTAATTTTCCTTATTTCGTTTGTTCGAAAAGTAAATTTCCGAATAGGCTTTTATGAAATGTATTAATTAAATGGTAATTTCGTAAATTTGATCGTACTACCTCTGGAACTTAAGTTACGCAACGTAAGAAAATGTTTTTTCTACAACTGTCAAAAAAACCTGTCATTGTCTGACGGATTTCGAAACGCGAAGTACTAGATTTTTAAACGGTTAATTAATAAGTAAGGTTGCTCTTGACAACGTGCGCGAAATCGTCAACAGTGAAAAAAAGTATTTCGCGCACGGGACAAAGTTGAACTTAAACAGCAATTTAATTAACAATCGGTTCAGTTGTAGAAAAAATATTGTATATAACGCTAGCGCGAAGTTATTTCGCGCATTTGACTGATATTTTAACTCGGCTTCGCCTCGTCAAAATACCTTCAGTCTCAATGCGCGAAATTGAACTTCGCGCTCTTGTTATATAAATAACTATTATGACACAATTTTCCTTTACGTCGCTAAGTATTCAAAGTAATGTAATCTCTCCGTTAATTACTAAAATTCGGCAAGCTCAAGTAGGCTACTGTTTATCTTTACCAAACTAAAATGTATATCCTCTTACAGTGTTGTGTTTGGTTGTAAAATCAATGAAACAAAACGCAGTTAGGTACATTTCCCTATTTAGTACTGAAAATGACGCAATCCTATCCTATTTTAAATATTTTTAGTGGCGTTTTTCTATATATGAATATTTCATCCTGGCTGTCGCCAAATCATTTTTTCAAAATCAAAAACTAGTGAAGCTAGTGAAGTAAAGCTTTCAGTCAATGATATAATTGTGTGTTTATTCAAATGCATTGTACGGCCCACATATTATAGTTTTTATGACAGATTTCTATATACTCGTATGCAAGATTCATTTTAGGTGTTGATAAAAATGTGCTTAATAAATTATTTGAAATTTCGGAAGTTGTTTGAGACCATTGAGTTCCAAAATTATTAATTTCAATTATTTGTAGCAGGTTCCGGAAGTGCACGAGGAGGAATCAAGTATTTCTTGTTTTAATTATAAATTAATTAAAGCTATGAATGGTATACCAGCTTAAAGCTTCAAATTCCCGTTTTAAAGAAGTTGCAATCTTCGTTTCGTATCTTCTTTTGTAATCGCGACTTGAAATACGTTTTATACACCCTTCCACGTTCAAATTGCCAATGTTTTACAAATAAATAATTTTTGTTATTATTATATTTAAATGGCGCCTATTATACTCTCCAATATTGAAACGTTCACTCTCACGAAATTATTTATAATACAGTCTTCATATGGTAATTTATTTGATTATTTCAATTATGAGAACCACTACTCAGAAATATCGGAATTTCGAAGATGGTGCGTGCACAACAGAGGAGTATCAAAGGAAATTATGCCACAAAAATGTAGTATTTCGAAAATTTTGCGTTGCGCGGCAATTCGTGACTGGCTTGGAATGTTTTTGTGTTTTCGCTTATGACAATATTCTGAAATTGGTTAGCGTCGCCGTTTCAATATAAAATTGAATTCGTTGCTAGCTGAAAAACTATATTATGAGTAACGCAATTTAATAAATAACGCACAGACAAAAAAATTTCATTTGGAACAAAAAAATTCAAATTTCCACTTATCACTGGGTATTGAAAAATTCGATTTATTTCCTAATGAGATTAAGAAAACCCTACTCGCATACACTGAATTAATATGCTTCTAATAAGAGGTTACTTTAAAATAAAGCAAGTGAATTTATTTACTTTTTCCTTCACAAAGTCACGCTTCTGCAAATTGTTAAGTGTTTAATCAATATTTAGCTTCCAAAATTGCAAAATTCAACAATTTCAAGTTGTCAATTAAATTACGTCGACAGATGAAAACTGCCCGCTTCCCTGCTCCATTTAACATGTTTGTGCTTGGATGACTTTCCATTTTAATACTGAACGAAATCCCCCAAATAGTTTGATGCTATATTTAATATTTTGTGACAGATATAGGAGCGTATCCGACCTTCGCTTGAATTAAATAGGTACACCACCAAATTAAATCCGCTAGACAACATTAAGACCGTCAAAGCTCTCTCATTTTGACTTGAATGAACGCACCGATATTACTCTAATTATGTAATGAAATTTTCTCCGTGCCAGTACCTAAATTTAACGTTATTGATTTTGACGTTTGCTGCGGATAAATTCAGATTCGGTTATGACGGAATAATACACGGCCCACTAGGGCGCTATCTGTAGATTTCTCTTTGTGTGGGGAATTCAGTAACCTCCATAAAGCTTTCAGGCGTATATTTTTTTGAAAAGTGTAGACTGTAAGAATTTCAGAAAATAAAAATTTAATAAGTAGATTATCCCAGGATGAGTGGGTTTGACGATCGCCTTTGTTTTCGAATTTTGATATTTGATTTCGGAAACACAACACACAAAGATGTTTGGTATCCTCCTACTGACTACGATATTACTTTATGTAACTTTGGTCGTAAAATAATACAGTTTTCTCATGTAGGCGTTCGAAAATTGTTTTAAAGAGCTATCAAATGAAACATCCCCTTTAGCGTTCGCTTCCGTAAAAAATTCATACCTTCAAAGTGAGAAAAATTTGTTCAGTTCAGGAATTATTGCAGTAACTATGATAATGGAATTAACAGTTACTATACTCTTACACAGCGTTCATTGGGCAAATGGATACATTCATTAGCACCACTGGAGATCGAAATGGAAGAAGTTGTTCAGATGACAACGTATGTCTACATTGAATATATCGAATGTTATACACATATATCCACCGGACGTAGATAGAAGGCACACGTTTGTCAAAATGAGCACCCACTGGTTGTCCAATGTCCATATAACATGTTTGGTTATGGCTGCGTAGGCTAATTAGTTTCAAGATAAGCACGTGTTGTAGTGTTTGAGTTAATTTAGTTGTATATGTACAATGTAACAGCGAGATGCCTTAAAGGTCGCGCAGATTTTTGTCACCGGTAAGAAAGCAAAGGTGTATAATTTATTCGAAAAACCAGATGGAAGTGGAACGGAAAGGGAAGTTATTTTAAATACAGAGACAGACGTGAAAGCTTCTTTGGTGGGACGTTAATAGTTGTTTTATTGAAAAGACGGTC